GAAGTTTTCACTTACGTCATATAATCGTGTTCAACCTGGATATTAATATGTAATATCACAGTTAAAACAAAATTGGACTCTCCAACAGGCCCAAAAATAAAGCGAAGATGCACAGCCGAGCTTATGATGACCTTCCATACTCGGGCAGCAACGGATGAGATATACAGCATATTCAATCAGCCCTTGAAGGCCGAGCTGGAAGCGGCTGAGGACCAAAGCCTATATGGCAGCGATTATGAGGAAGATGATTATACCAGTGCTGGAGAGAGCACAGCAACAGGGAGAATATCTGCAGTGAACAGCGACTTTGGTGATGATGAAACTGGTGTTTTTGAAAGAACGCAGGATATCAATGCCGACAATGGGTTTACTGATCAAACAAAGACTGGAGTCAGCGAATGGACAGAATTCAGTCCCGCCGAGCACATTCCAAAGGTTTATGGTGGATCAAGAGGAGATATACAAGGTTCCGGAAGTCAGACGAACACTTCAGTTTCACCTCAGAATCACCCTGAAAGTTATGGTCACTTTGGCGAAGGTGAGGAAAAGGAGAATCACATTCATTCTCCCTCTTCAAAAGAAAGCCGATTTGTTCCCATCGAGCCTCAAGATTACAATCCTCCAACTGGTCCCTATCGAGATCCTTATGTTGTTGCTCAAAACCGATTGCCCTTCATGACTCCGATCATAGAACAGACAGAGGCTTCGTTGGCTTCGACTCTTTTCAGGGAAAAGGGTCATCTAAGCACCAAAACGCCATCCAAGATAGGCAGAGGCTTTGCCCCAGTCACACCAGCCATACCGGAAGTCGACGATTTGCTGCTGAGTAGTCCGTTCCAAGACTATACTCGAACCAACGATGCTGTTTTTGAGTACACCACTGAAATTAGTTCCCCCAGCAAAGTCAGTGACGGATTCATGCCATCGATTCCAAAGTCACCAATCCTTCAACGCAACGGACATGTGATAATCACGGAGCATCAATGCAACCCGATGGACCATGCGATACAGGCCAAGATTCTGCGAAGCATGCGGCCTTCGCTACATACCTACCCAGGGTATCACGACCACAAAATGGAAGATGGAGGAAATGCATCCGATATCAAGAAGTATTTCAAGAATTTAGCCAAAGTATCTAAGGGCAATGGAGGAGATAGATCGCCTACCGTGCCGCCTGTTCTTTGTTTTGAAGGTGCAGTTCGGAGTTATGCCATTAAACGAGAGCTAGGAGAAGGCGGCTTTGCTCCAGTTTACCTGGTAGAAAGTGTTGATTCGCCCGACACATTCACGGACTCTGAAGATGAAAGCGACGGTTATGATCTGAGCCCACGGACGCCCTCTCCGAAAGGAAAGATCTTCAAGACCATGCGAAATGCTGAGCGTGGTGAATTTGAAGCTATTAAAGTGGAAACGAATCCTCCGTCGGCTTGGGAATTCTATATGCTGCGTATTGCACATGTCCGTCTGGGCAGCACCAGTTTGCACCGCCGCTCGACAGAAAGCATCATCCAGGCCCATGAACTTCACCATTTCAAAGATGAAGTTATTCTTGTGGAGGATTACCGCAACCAAGGCACGCTGATCGACTTAATCAACCTTGTGAGGGCCGAATGTAAGGCTGGAGGGACAACAGAGGCTGGCCTAGATGAGGCAGTTTCGATGTTTTTCGCAGTTGAACTGCTTCGTACAGTTGAAGGGCTGCATTCCTGTGGAGTAATTCACGGAGATCTAAAAGCGGATAATTGTCTCGTTCGGCTTGATGAGTCGGCTGCACTTCCTACTTCGTTGCTGGATACCGATCTGGACAATGCAGACTATTCCCCATCGGGAGGGCATGGCTGGCACAACAGAGGCTTGACGTTGATTGATTTTGGTCGCGCGATTGATATGCACGCTTTCGTCCCCGGGGTCCAATTCATTGCTGATTGGAAGGTGGCGGAGCATGAATGTTCTGAGATGAAAGAGTGTAGACCGTGGACATATCAGGTCGATCTGTACGGCCTCGCTGGAATCTTTTATATCATGCTATTCGGGAAGTACATGGAAGTCATGCCTGTGTCACATACGGAGACTGGCAACCCTGACCGCCCTGCATGTGGCCTTCAGCGACATTATAAAATCAAAGAATCCTTGAAGAGATATTGGGAGAGGGAAATCTGGTCGGAACTGTTTGACCTTTGTCTCAATCCTACCAGCGAGAAATGGACGGGGATTGAGCGGCAATATTGTGACTCCAAGGAGAATGGTGACCCGAGCGCGGTTGCTGGTGGCGGAAAGGGCCCCTCCATGCCGATGGTTAATTCGATGAGACTTGTTCGCGAAAAGATGGAAATGTGGCTTGCAGCGAATGCGGCTCGTAAAGGGCTGCAAGGTCATCTCAAAAAGCTGGAGGCACTGATATCAAAGAAGCGGGCGCGACGCAGTTCCGAGAAGGATTGATGCTATTGACTGATTAGGCTTCGACTGGAGAACGGTTATGCTTACATTTCTGATTTTGTTACGTGGACATGAATGGCGGCTGGTTTTCTTTTTATGATATCCCCTTTTTTTAATATCGAAATGTTCATATGCTGCCCTTTAGATTCTCCAGGATAGCGACGGCGTTTTAGGAAGCATGAAGTAGATTTATTAGTCAGCGAGACATGGATCGCGTGATCACGCGTTTCTCTCAAAAGTCCATTGACGTTAGACGTATTTCATGATATTTTTTAACATGATCCCAAGTTGGCTTGGTTGATTTCGCTCACGTTGCCGCTTGCAATGCCTCCTCGGATTACACGTGCGGCCTCTCGCCGGTCTGAGATCATTGCCTCCGAAGTCAACGAGACCGCAACCCCTGAGAGGAAAAAGCGACAACGCAAAGCAGCAGATTCTTTACCGACACCTAGCCCCAAGCGACCTAAGAAAACTTCAATTGATATTCACCAGGACACCGCTACGCTGAATGGCACGCATTCCTCCGATGCTGAAGAGATAGCATTGGAACAGGATCGGGTCGGTAAACACGTGCAGAAGCAAAAAGGCGAGACAAAAGCAGAGGACAAGGTGGTGGGCCGAGACCGGGTGGAAACCGCTCAGATAAAACACGAGGGGACAGAAGTGGTCGAGGAGGAAGAGGTCGAGGTAACGGTTAAAAAAACGAAGACAAGGAAGAGGAAAACCAAAGAAGAGAAGCTGGAAGATATGAAGCCTCTTGCTCCTCGCACGGAAGGACTGCGCATGTTCTTGGGTGCGCATGTTAGTGCTTCCAAAGGTGTGTTGGTGATGCTGCTTCAGCTATCTGATGCTATATCTTGCTTCAATCCTCGTTGCGGAGCTTGCTAAACATTCCTTGTAGGGATACATAATGCGGTTACTAATAGCTTGCACATCGGGTAAACACTATCAAGGCTTTCAATTATGGTCCTTGACAACTGGCGGTGCTAATGGCTCGCTCTAGCGGAAATGCCTTTGCTTTATTTCTAAAGTCGCAGCGAAAATGGGACAACCCTCCATTACAGGATGACCATCGAGAGCAGTTTCATAATCTTTGTCAGGATCACAAATATGACGCCTCGAAGTAGGATATACCTTCTGATTTCCTGCTTCTTTTGAACCGTATTGGCCTAATG